GCAGCAGAGTTTCTTAACCTGAGAACTTAAAGGTTTTTTTAATAATCTATCAAATTAATAATCAAATGCAGAATCATGTTTTAGTCTGTTATGGAGTAGTTACATCTATACCAGCAATCCCTAAACATTTTTGTTCCAAAGTATGTAATTAAATATGACTGGGTTTTCTTTGAATGAAGTAAATTAATAAAAATGAAGTACATTTTTTCACTGTGTTCCACTGCAGCCCATTACCAAATTACTTATGGACTGGTAGTGGTCCCCCAGACCAGCGGTTAGGGACCCCTGATCTATACAGTCTTCCATTTACAACTGGGCCTTCAAGGGGAACTGTATTGCTAATGTGGCCTCCGGTGGAAATGAGTTTGACACCCCTGCTCTAGGCTATATCACCATGAAGAATGAACAATTTGGAACCTTTACTGGTTGGTCAAACTAGTTCATGCTCTTAAAAAAACACACAAAAAAAGCCATAGTATGGTGTCATTTTTGTCTTAAATGTGATATTTGTGCTATTTTTAATATCCCCCGGGATGAGATGCAATTTCTATTTTTTTAGTAGTAATTAATATAATAATTAGTATTTGACTGACTCTCAAGAAAACCAAATAAGTGTTGTCTGGGGTAACTCAGTTAACCTCTTCTAATTATTATATACCATGGTAGTTCACTGTTACATACCTTACAAAATTACTTTTATTCTTATATAGAACAACTATATAGAACAACACATTTGTAAGGGTTAGATGTGCTCGTATTTTTCTCGTAACTGTATCACTCCGACTTTGTTGTTAATTTGTCATTTCTTCTAAAAGACATCAAGTTAAATTCTAAATGTTTTTAGCCTGTACTGGACTAGCTTCCACTCTGCCATTTTAAATAACACAACTATAACATTAGCTGTATTTGGAATTAAACTCTCTGCACTACACTGAGTCACCTCGTCACTGTAGACTGATTCACAGAAGAGGCGAGAAGAACGTTTGGCAGAACGAGCCGTGAAGGGCACGGATTTTAGAGCTAAGGGCAAAAGAGCAAAGATGTAGAGGAAAGAGGAAACGAGAAGGAATATTGAATAGAGTTAGTCAGATTATAAAGACAGGACATTTAGATGAAATGAAGAAATAGAAAAAATAAGAGTCAACAACAAAGGAATATATTCTGTTATGCCAAATTGAGCCTATAGGGGGTACTGTACCTGTGATGATGTCCTCAATGGCCCCATCTTTTGTCTCCCTCACCAGAGGGGACACTTGTC